GAAGAGATTCTTGATAGTTCAGTAATAGTAATGACTTGCATTCATCCAGTGCCTTTTCTAGAGTGATTACTTGGCCACTGGGCTGAGACCTTAAAATAGATTATAAAATTTAATCATCATAACCACTCAAGGAATTAGACAATATACCTCCACTTTATGTTAAAGACTCTAACTCCTAAGGAGATTATGTAATTTGGTAAAGGGAATGCAGCCAAAAGGCAGACAGGATTCTATTGCAATTCCTTCTAACTTCAAAGCTATTCATAAAAATTTATGTTGTGTAGACCCATTGGACCAAGCACAGTGCTCAGTGCATGCTGAGTGCCTAATAAATGGAGTTTGGTATACTAGAACTGAGAAAGTCATATATACCAGGAAGTAGGATTTTCAACCTAGAGTTTAGTAACATATTGACTAATTTGTCTTCTAAATTATATTAAAAATCAACGACACGTTTGCAAAAGTCTTTGGAATGAAAAGAACTGTATAAATGGGAGCTGATAATCTTCTGGGTTCTCTAATGTCCTTCTTGTAACAGTCAAGGGAATAATTGATTTTACAGAGCTACTGTTCTAAAGCTTTCCTCTGCCTATAGACAGGCATCAACAGCTGATTGTCTGCAGGTATTTGCCTGGGGGAAGCTATTGAATGTCAATGCAAATCAGGGAAGTTTCCTCAACTGTAGAAAGTTACTGGCAGGAACCTTGAGGCATAGGTGTATTTTAAGACAGTAGAACGTCACATTATGTCAATAACTTTATATTACAAATAACTAATTTTTTACATTGATATCAGTTGTTTTCTAATTTCTTTATCATACATATTATTTTAAAGCATATTACTAGCAAGCTAAAATGTTGATGATTGTGGATAAGGTTTAAAACATATTTATATGATTTTAAAAACACTACTTTCAAGTTGCCAGTATTATAGTTTTTGACCAATGTGAATACACAGAATTTGAAATGATACTCATAATAATAATTATAGCTTAACATTGTGCTGTTTGCTAAATTTAGACAATCTTTTCATAAGATTACATTTTATAAGTACACTTTGATTTAAGAGAAACAAAATACCAGAAATGGAATACTAAACCGGCATTATTATTTGCATATTTTATCGGTTACTTTTTGTTCTCCAAAAGAAATGGTATAAGTTTCTAATGACTTGGGACCCAGCCACCTGTCATTCTAAAGAATATTTTCCTCTTCACAAGTAACATGGTGTGCTAATTAACTGTTAAAATTTGGGGTAGGGGGTTGAGAAATAAAAGTGATAATATGTTAAAGTGATAAAATCAAAACAACATTTTTCTATTTAGATGCATTTATTTTACTATTCCTAGTAAGACAAAAATTGGTGGAATTGTTATACTAAGAAGAAACAATGTCACCTTTTAAATTACAATCTAGATGAGGATCTATGAAACACAGGCAGTCACACCAAAAATAGACTTTCTTATTCTTGAAGAAAATCAGTACTGATGCCAAATGAGCAGCATCAGAAATATATATATATATATATATATATATATATATATACACACACACATACATATATATGTATATAAATATATAAATAAAAGTAATATATATATTCTATCAATATGGTAGAGATATTTGGATATTAGATTTAAACCCAAATGTTCAGTTTAAGATACTGTCTTAGTAGTTCTCAGACTTCATCTCTTCATGCTAAATAGTTATCAAGACATGGAAAGCATAAAACTCACAACATTGGAAACTGAGACTGGCTGATAACTCATTGCCAGGACATGAAAAATATTTTGGCTAATAACACTGCACATGTTTGAAAGCAGGTATGAGACATAGACAAAGGGAGAGATTAGATATATATCATTCCATTTCCCTGGAGTCATAGAAGGATGCACACAATATGATCAATGTCTCGGGCATTGAGAAATTACAAAGAAAGAATAGATCGTCCAGGATGACTAGGCATGATGTAGTGAATCTTAGGATGTACAGATTTCACAGGAAAGGATGCTCTGATGCAAGTAAAGGGTTTTATAAGAGAAATTTATTTTCTAGGAAATGCAGCAGTTTTTTCTTTATCATTTTTCAAATCATCACAGAAACACACTGGTATTAGAGCAAAGGAAACTTACACTATTTAATTTTGTTCAATGCTGAGAGTTTTGTCAAGAGATGTATGTACTAATCAGTTTTCTAGATATGGATAAGGAATAGGATTCAACCAGCAACCCTTGGGCAATAAATACCACAAGGGCAGCCTCCATACCCTTTTGGCTGGCAAAGATCATGACTAGAGCTATCTGTCCTCATCCAAAAATGATTAATAATAAAAATCAACATGGGGCATATAGAAAGTTCTTCAGAGTAAAGAAAAGACAATGCCATACTAAAAATTCAAGGGGAGAATATGCCTCTGAAAGTTGTACAATAAATAGATTTGAATTTTAAAACAATTATTCAGAATCCTTAAAAGACCTCTTCCCTATAAACAGAAATAGGATCCTACCAGAAAGTAAAGGATTGATACTGAATGTGAGTTCATTGAGAGTTATATTGGAAGGAATCTAAAAACATAAATCAATAATATAAACTTCCAATAAAGGCAGTGAAAAATAAAATTTATCTCTTGGATCATCATAGCATTGTAAAAGACAAATCTGAGAAAGAATTTCATAATGTGGAAGAGGAAATCGAGATTGAAATATGAGAGAGAAGTTGGTAAGTATGGGAGACAAAGCCTGCAATCCAGTTTAAGAGTTCCAGGAGCTCAAAGAAAAAGAATCAATACCCATTAGAATTAAATAAAGAAAATTTTCTGGAAAAGAAACAATAACATAGATCCACTATTTGAATGGTTTTATTGTGAATCAGGTACAATCAATCAATAGATTTTCACCCTAGTTCAAGCATGTACAAATTTTTAATTATAAGCATAAAGAAAGCCCTTCATTCAACTAAAAAAAGAAGCAAAATAATATATTTATGAAGAATTAAATTTCATTTTGGCTTATAATTTTTCCTGAAATACTGCATGCTAATATATATATACATATAAATGTTATTTGAGAATTTTAAGTTCATGTAAGTTTAAATTAATATTTAAAGCCTACACATATTGATATTCTCAGAAACACAAGATGATCATTATAGCATGTGGTTACCATCCTGAAAAAAATATATAAATTGAATGCATATTTCGGTTTCCTGAAGAACAAATTAACATTAAAAACTCAAAATTTCGGAAAGGGCTTTACAAGGGGTGACCATGAAGTGCTGATACTCATAAGCTGTTGTAAATTCCATTTAAAAAAATTTGTAAGTTTGAAAATAAAACAATAAGCTCAGTATAATCATTGAAATATTACATAATTCAGAAATAGGGTATATTATAAAGTTAAAAATATGTGAGTACCTAAGAGAGCTTGGAGGGGACTTCTCCTCCAGTTGATTCTTGAGATGTGGTAGCCACTACAGACACCCTGATTGTAGCCTCCTGAGGAACACAGAGCCAGAGGCACCCCCTAAACTGTTCCTGACCTGTGAAAACGGTGGGGTAACAAACAAACAATACATAAAATATTTGGGTATATATATATGCATATTTGTGTGTGTGTGTCTGTATACAGCCTCTATGTTTTGGGTACTTTGTTACACAGAGGCTAACATGCAAAAGAAAAAAAAGGCAAAAACTAAGTAGAGGGAAACTTAAATTACAAGTACCCTTAGAGTATAAGAGAGTGAAGCCATAAAGGAAAGCAGAAAGATATTTAAAAAAAAGTATTCATTAAATGAATGATATTGAATATTAATGTATACTATATAGGTGGCATATATTATATACATTTACATACACTGTACGTGCATGTATAAGGAACGGAGAATTGGAAAATAAAGTCGAAGCAAAATTCTAGAGATAACAAAAAGATAGAGGAAGGGATAATAGGACGTGAATAATAAAATAAGCAAAAACTATAAAAGATCAGACCAGAAGGCCTGATTTCTGAATGAAAAGATTTGTAGGAAAGGAGAACTGGGGAAAAGTAAGGGAGAAAATCATCAAAGAAATATTTCAGAGAAGATCACCAGAAGTGAAGGAAATATATTACTAGATTAAAAAACCCCTTGAGGTCTCAGTAAAATAAATTAAGAATGTCCACAGCAAGACAGATTATTCTGAAAATTCAGAGCTCTTGATAACTTAAGAACTCATAGAGAGGAGCGGCATCTGGGTGGCTCAGTCGGTTTAGTATCTGACTGGATCAGGTCATGATCTCACAGTTGGTGAGTTGGAATCCCACATCGGGCTGTCTGCTGTCAGCACAGAGCCTGCTTTGGATCCTCTGTCCCCTTCTCTTTCTGCCCCTACCCTGTTCGTGTTCTCTCTGTCTCTCTCTCTCAAAAGTAAATTAAAACAAACAAACAAACAAACAAAAAAACTTGTTGGGCCTGGCACTGACAGCTCAGAGCCTGAAGCCTGCTTCAGATTCTGTGTCTCCCTCTCTCTCTGCTCCTCCCCCACTCTCATTCTGTCTCTTTCTCTCTCTCTCTCTCTCAAAAATAAATAAACATTTAAAAAATTAAATTTGAAGAAATAATGTGATTTTAAGCTAAAAATATGTACTTAGCTCAACTATAAATTAGGTCTGAGGGTAGCATAGAAACATTTTCAAATGCAAAACTTCCAAAACAACTTAATATCATTCCCCACCCTTAGGTTGTTGCAATGGTCAACAACTTGTTTTTGTCTAAAGGTCCACATAACAAATAATTTACATTTTGTATGGACCATCAGATCTGTGTTGCAACCACTGGATTCCGTCCTTGTACTGTGAAACAACCTATAGACAATACATAAATGAGGACATATGGCTGTGTTCCAATTAGCTTTATTTATGGAAAATGAAATTTGAACTTCATAAACTGTCACATGTATGCTATGAAATATTATTCTCTTGTCCTTATATATTTGAAAATGTAAAAATTATTTCCACTTCTGTCTAGTATAAAATGGATGGAGAACCAGATTTGGCCTGAAAGCCCACAGGTTGCTGACTCCTGGTTATTTGAAGATAAGCTTCCCCCAGACAGAATTAACCAAGAAAGAGGAAGTTATAAATGCAAGAATATAGAGGATCCAACATAGAAAAGAGGCAAGTTGAATCCTCAGGATGATGGTGAAGACAGATCCTACGAAGATAGGATCCACCACCCACTGAGGCTGGAACAGGAGGACAGAGGGCTCCGGGGAGATTTGAGCCAGAAGACAAATTGAACCCAAGCAAAATAAAACAAAACAAAAATGACAGACTTTCCAATGTGTCCATTGTATTGAAAAGAATGTGAAAGGTTTGTTGGAGTCTTGGAGAGAAAGAATCATGATGCTTACAGAAGAAAAAAAGAACAAACAAATTAGATAATGATTCATAGGTTAAAACACACGAACAGAAAAAGAGAGGTCAGACAAGAAAAACATTTAAGCATCGTAACTGAGTTGTATAGATCTGAAGAATAGTTCCTGAGTCATAACAAAAATCACAAGATACTGGTTTAACAAAAACCATAATACGACTATATTGGAGACACTGTTAGAAGTACATGTAAGGGTGGGAATGGAAGGAGGTTGTTAAGTAGCTAAAACTGAAAATTCAATAAATAGTACTAGAAGCCTATTATTTAGAAATATGGATGTAACCACCCAAAGAAATAGGTAACAGTGGTAAGTTCCTATTTCTGGAAGTGTAGAGGATAAGGAGGGCTGGGAAGAACCACCATTTTTACTTACCTATCATGCAAATGTATTTGAAATAGTATTTTAATACCAAAGCATTTTATTTATTGAAAAAAAAATTTTAATGTTTATTTATTTTTGACAGAGACAGAGAGAGCATGAGCGGGGAGGGGCAGAGAGAGAGGGAGACACAGAATCTGAAGCAGCCTTCAGGCTCTGAGCTGTCAGCACAGAGCCTGACGCAGGGCTTAAACTCAAGGACCGTGAGATCATGACCTGAGCCGAAGTTGGACGCTCAACTGACTGAGCCACCCAGGCGCCTCAATACCAATGCATTTTAATACACCCCCCAAAATAAATAGAAAGTAGTAAAAAATCAAGTTCTGTTCTATAAATGGCGGTAACCTAGAGGATGTAATAACGGTAATACTAATGATACAACAATTACATTTCTTAGCAATAAAAAATATAAAATACATTAAAATAGCTGCAAGAAAGGATTGGAGACCATCCAAAGAAGACAAAGCTTGAAGGAATCTTCCATTAAAAAGAAAAAATTTTTAACTGGTTCCCTCTGCCTGGAATGCCTCCTCCCCAAATATTTGACTAACTTCTGCCTTTCCCAGCTTCACACCCCCAAGAAAATGCTGCCTCCTCACTGATGTGTCTCCTCTTCACCCAACACACAGTTTTTGTTTTATTTCCACAGGTTTTTACAAACATCTGGCATAGTATGTTTTAACTTTTTTTCTTGTTGCTAGTTTTCTCACTGTCTTTCTGTTCTCTTTAGAATGTAAAACTCTCCATGGCAGATATTTTAATCTGTTTTGCTGCTTCTGTATTCCCAAAATTTAGAGCAGTATCTGGCACATCGTAGGCATCCGTAGATATGTGTTCTAATGAAAATTGTCTTTTGATAAATTAGACACAATAAGCAAAACTAAATATTGTAAGAATTTCCAATTTTCCCAAATTAATTTATAGATGTAATGAAACATATATATCACTTCTCCACGGGTTTTTTTTGTTGGAACTTGTCAAAATAATTCTCAACTTCAGAGTAATCAGTAATTATTGTAGTAGAAGGAGCAGGGAACTGTCAGATGGATGGTGGCTAGTGTCGTTAAGGCAGTGAAAATAAAGATGAATTTGGAAAATAAGGAAATATGATTTCCCAACAAAATGTTAAAATATGGTATAAAATAGAATAATGTAAAAAAATCAGCTTGCATAAAAATCTGCAAATACGTAAAGGGAGCAGAAAATGCAGCCTCAAAAACAACAGTAATCTGAGCAGTACTGATGGGTTAGTCATAAAAAGTTGCAGGAAATAGTAGGTATCTGGGGAGTTTTTGTTAGTTTATTTGCTTACCACATATACCCAAATAAATTCCAGAGGTTTAAAATAAGTTAAATAACACTTTTTATAAAAACAGAATAATACAAATACCAGAAAATACAGGTGAATATCCCAGACACACAGAAATTATTTGAGACATGTTTTACCTGGTCTTTTAACGCTGATATTTCAGAAGTCATCACAGATAAAACTAACAGACAATTGATTAATAAAAACATTTTCAAACCTGTTTTCTTCTAAAAAGCTTGAAGAACTCTTCCAAAGTATAATGGCATTTAATTTTTTAAAAGAGAGCAAAAGACTAAAACAGAAATGTTTAGCTTCACCAATAATTTTTAAAATGCGAATTAAGAAAAAAACCCAATAAGATGATATGTCCCCTGTTCCCAACTGGCTAACCCTAAAATTAGTAATTAATACACTTAAGTATTCTCATATCCTTGTGGGGGAAAATGAAAATTGGTTCAAGCTTTCTGGAGGGAAATTTGGCTCTCTGATCAATATTTTTACTTTCAATAATAAATCCTAAATGAATAATCAAGAATCAAACTGTGTTTGATGCTCCAGAAATTTCTTCAAAGCATTAAGATTGAAAAATAATAGAACAACCTAACATTCAACAGTAGAGAAATAGTTTAATAAATTAAGTCATTTAATTCAGCTCAGGTAAATGATGGTATATTAATATGATAACATTTTTGTAGCTATTAATGATCAAAGCATGCCTAAATAAGTAGAAAACTCCTCATGGTATGTGGAAAACCAAATAGATAACATTAACCTGATTTTTAGAATGATCCCAATTTCTTTCTTCCCATTTATAATACACATATAATGCATTCTGTCAATCTACTCATCTATCTACCAATCTTCTAGTTTATCTATCTATATATCTATCATCTATCATATCTAATTTTAACCTAGTTGTACTGCATTAAACATAATGTGTAGTATTAATATAAACTCTCTTTCTCACAAACACACTACTTTTTAAGTGATTACATCTGGTTATAAAACTGCAGGTGACTTAATTCTTCCATCCACTCTTCTGCATTTTACATTTTGTGCAATGAAGATAAAACATTTTATCATTCAATGAAAGAATTGAATAAAAGTATCCATAAACTTTTCCTGAGACCTATTGAAGTACAATCCCCAAACTCTCATAGTTTAAATCGTGGCAGTTTCATGACTGTCTCAAATAAGGAAGTCAGAAAATAGAATGTGGAAACTAAGGGTTGGATGTCACTGCTTTCCTTTGCTGAAAAGCTCTTCTTTCATAGCTATTCACTGTTTATAAATGACAGCACAAAAGGATAATTGGGAAGAGTTGCCTGATACAAAGAAAAAGGAAAAATTCTCTGAAAGTCTTCTGCTAGAGAGTTATTTTTGGAGATCTTTAGTGGGCAGAATGGTCCTTCAGCAAGACTTGAGCTACTGAATGCATTTGTGTCTCTATCAGTTTTCTCAGAAAAGCTACAATAACTACCACCCACCCATCCAACCAAAACACACATAAGATTGTAACATTTTATTCTTTTACTGTGCAACAGTCCTAGTTTTAAAATGTCGCAATGTAACTACTGTGCTTGAAGGGATGGAGAACTGTAATCTGTTTTTTGGGGAAAATGCTTTTTGTGACCCAGCAGTGCCAGATTTTGGTAATACCGTCTCAAGAATAGTGTCAAGTTTTTGTCTACATTTTCTTTTCTCTTCTGCATAACCTGTCTAGTCTCTCCCTCTTTTGTCACCCCTTGTGATATGATATGCTTATGGTGGCTACTATTACAAGGTGTCCATAGATAAAATTGAACATGACAAACTTGTGAAATAAACCTATCCCAGAGTGAGAAAACTATTCATAGAACATTCACTGTTTGCAGGTGTTGGTTTTTTTACATCTTTAATTGACTAATTTATTTCATCTTCACGACAGCCTGTGTTATACTGTGAACACTCCTTTTGCTCTCAGATTAAGATACAAGACACAGAGAAGGCAAGGATCTTACCCAGGTTTACACAGCTAATAAATAGATGATGGGCTAAGATATAAACCAGGGATTCTGGCCCTTAAGCACGATAGTAAATTTTCCTGACATTTTTGCAATGATCTATTGAGTCCCTTTGTGAAAAATCCCCTCTAATGTGTTGGGTGCAGGGTTTTTGTTTTGTTTTGTTTTGTTTTGTTTTGTTTTGTTTTGTTTTAATGCATGTAAACTCCTACTGTGAATCAATTTTGGGGATCATTTTCCTGAAGCCACACAAAAAAGTAACTTGATACTGGAAGGGAGAGGCTGTTTCTTTCCTCCCTTCTTATTCTGAAGGATGCAAAATTTACAGCAGGTTTGGTGGTGAGAGAGGCATCAGATCAGCAAGGGAAACAGTGGGCCCATAGAATACTTTTTTTCTTTTTGGCAATGGTGTCTGCAGTTGCAGCAAGGCCGTGTTTTAATTAATTTTCAGGAAAAGCAGTGATTCTTGGGAAGATAACATCCAGCTCCACTTTGAAACACATCTGAGTTCTAGACCCACTGGCAAAAGTCAGATAAATTCTTCCTGACATTTTGGATGTAAAGAAATTACAGGGGATTGGGGAAGACAATAGATTCTGGACATGCAGTCCAAGTCTTCTCCTCATTCCCTGTTCTCCCTGAACCTGCTCGCTGTTCCTCTGCCTTTGGGAAAATGGCTATGTGGAAATCCTAAGAGTTATTCCCTCTGACTTACTTTTTTTTTTTTTTTTTTTCTGGCCCTGAGCCTTTGCTCTGGTTTTTCATAGATTGGGCTCAACACTGAAGGTTTATCCACTCTTTGGTGAGGAAGAAGCCACCTGGGTCAATCAGCAGAAATGTGCATTGGTGTTGGAGAAAGCTGTATACCAAGGGACCACAGGAGCTGGGGCCAGCCGTAGATTTTTTTTTATTCAGGTCCAGCAGCATATGCTGACTTCCATGTGACAGATGGCACCGTGGCTGCTGTGGATGCAGCTTAAACAGTGGACTTTCCAGAGGCCAGCATTTACAAAATTTGGCGCAAGTGGTCACATAAGAATTTCTGCTTTCTTGGTACAGCAAAGCAAACTGTTTAAGGGGCCAAAGTAAATATCCTCAGGAGTACTTCAGAAAAGACATCTAGTCTTACAGTGGATTTCTTGTTTATAAGTCACCATGATTTGAATATCTTTATGTTGTAAATGAGATCTTATTATAAGACCA